CCAAGGTCAAAAGGTTAAGTTGTTGGCATCAAGAAGAGGGTTCTTGTCATAACGAATACACCTGTGAAGTATAAAAACTCTAACACTAACAGTGAAAAAGATATGACCATTGAAGAGTAAAGTTTTTTATAAGGCCAGATGATACAAACAAAAATGGATGCCTGGATCGGTATATATTTTTTGACCTAATTTCGTTGCAAATGATGCAAAAAACAAATTTCTAGAATATAAAGAGATTGAAAACCTTTTGTGATGTCCTACCCTTCTGAAACCATCCTTATTTATACTAGTAATCTATACAAATATTTTTCACTTCATATCCTATTTTTGTGGAATTTTGAATAAAAAAAATAAAAACTATGCGGTGAAACTTACACATTTTACTCATTTAAACATGACCCAAGTTGTTATTTTCAATTTTTTTTTCTTATATAAGTTCGTTGGTATCATCTGTCCTTAAGTGTGTTAAACTCTTAGGTCAAGGGGAAAAATATTTATACACATTGAAAGGTCTTGTCCCCACGTACATGTGAAGTATGATAGCACTGGCACCAACTGTTACAATACTAATGACAAAAGTTAATGTTAGGTAATCTTTTGTAATAGTGGGTTAAACTCCAAGGTCAAGAAGTCAAAAATTGGTGGTATCCAAATAAAGATCTTGTCACGAAGAATACACCTGTAAAATTTGAAAGCCATAGCCCCGTCAAGTTATTGGTAATGTAAGTTTTTTGTGGACAAAATAGATAAACAGGCAGACAGGACTAAAACTTTATATATACCTCGAATCTTCGATTATGGGGGAGTAATAAGGGGAAGAGGAATAAGTAAGAATAAGCTTTTTTTTTAAAGGAAGAACAATTTTTTGCATAACAGTTGTGGCCCCGCCCAACCCCGGAGGTCATGATTTGAACAAACGTGAATCTACACTCCTGAGGATGATTCCACATGAGTTTCAATTTTCCTGGCCCAGTGGTTCTTGAGAAAAAGATTTTTTTAAAACGCCATTAATTTTTCACTAATTCATAGTTATCTCCCCTTGGATGAGGGCGTGGCCCTTCGTTTGAACAAACTTGAATCCCCTTCACCTAAGAATACTTTGTGGCAAGTTTGGTTGAAATTGGCCCAGTAGTTCTTGAGAAGAAAATGAAAATGTGAAAAGTTTACAACGACGCCAACAACGACAACGATGACAGACAACGGACAAATTTTGATCAGAAAAGCTCACTTGAGCCTTTGGCTCAGGTGAGCGAAAAATTTTCAAAACTGGCACATGATTTTGAGGAATTTCTTCCTTAGAAAGGGAACTATCAGTATATGTTGTAGAATTTAATCCCAGTTTCTTTAAAATATACATTTTATATAATGAGTTACCGTTCACGGTAGCTCATTCGATAGAGCGCTCGCAACGTGATCGGGAGGTCGTGAGTTCGTATCTCGGCAGCGACTGACCTAAGTCGATAAAAAGTGGGTAGCAACTGTTTCTTCGCCATGCGCTCGCCACTTTGAAGTGAAGTTGCGGGTCATTCGGATGAAACCTTAAAAACCGAGGACCGTGTCAGAGGCAGGCGTTGGCACGATAAAGATCCCTCACTGCTCAATGGCTCTGAGTGCCGATTATAGGTCAAAATTTGAAGCCCTTCACCGGCATACGGTGATGTCTCCATATGAGTGAAGAATTCTCGAGAGGGACGTTGAACAATATACAATCAAACAATCATCTATAATGAGTCTTATAAAAAAGACAATGTTGTTACCTGCTTTGTCAGCAGGGACAAAACAGTTCTTATTCTTTCTTCAATTGAAGGATACTAGTAATTTTCGTAAAATTGCACCTCAATCTTTAAATGTGTGATTTTAAATTTAATCCATTCTGACAGTGACAAGGTCTTCTTTTTCATATTTGGCCCATCGCCTCGCGTAATCTTCTACAGAATCCATAATATTTATGAAATTCCTACACAAGTTAAAGAATCGGGGTTCCATATATTTATATGAAATTTGTAATATAGTCAATTGATAAGTCGGTTTTAAAGTTTTAGAATTTATTGTAAGTCCAAAAATATAAATTTCACAAAATACAATTTAGAACTTTCGTAGATGGAACAATCTGAATTTAACAAAGAATTTTCCTAGATGGAACAAACTGAATTTAACACAACATTTTTCTTAGATTGACTCACTTGCAAACTCACTCACATCTAATCTTTGACAACTCCGCCCACTTTCGTACTGACCAGACAATTAAATAGAATATTGCGTGAACAGGGGGAATCCGTAAGACATTAATTTACAACACTGAAATTAGGTAGAGCTAAGCATAACAAATTCAAACTGAAAGAACACAATCTTAAGATCTAACCATAAAGTAGGTAACAAGTATGAGTAAATGACACTGGTGTCGTGAGGCAGGAAAGAGATATCAAGAATTAGATATTGCTACAGTGATTTAAGCAGTTCCGGATCGTAACGGGAAAAACACTCGGTAAATTATTTATGCAGGACCTGTGTTTGATTTCTACATTGAAATAAATAGTCCTTTATTTACTCTTTCAAGCCACATTAATATTTTGTTTAAAACGTTATACTTTATAATCGAAGTTTTCCAATTAAAATATGCTGGAGTTCAAGCAGTTTAGATGATTTCAAGTAGTTCCGGTTTTCGCCACCTATCGTTGTTATTTATAGTTGTAACAACAGAGGTCGTCTCAAAATTCATTTTTAACGATCAGATCTTAAGTTAATAGGGACAATAATATTTTTCCCCACTTTTTTAAAGACTTGAGCTCGAAAATGGAATATCAATTATATCATATATAAAGAAGAAAAGATCATGTTTCAACAACTTTATTAACGATAAAATAAACTATCAAATATCTTAAAAAATAAAAAAAACATAAAAATTAGAAAATTGCATTGGAAAAAACTAGAAGAAAATCATCAAAATAAAAAATATAATTAATCAAGGAATTGTTGTTCATTTCATACAAAAAACGAGGAATAGGACATAAATGCCCAACATATAATTCACCAGTTCACTTAATTGTATTTGAATGCACATGAAACTTTGCTTTATATAGTGTGTGAAGTTTGAAGAAAAGGTTAAACTTGAGTACATGTACTTTCAAAATAAATCATTTTTATACACAGTAGATGAGAAAGTTGAAGGCAATAGGGGAAGTCAGTTTTAAAAAAAATACACACAGTTGATAAATTCTTACCAAATTTAAAATTATGTATAAGTTACAAAAATATCTAGAATAGTTTTTTTGGTTTGAAAGTTAGCAAGCTGCAAATTTGAAAAAAGTGAGGTCAAGGTAAAAAAAAATCTTTAAGCAGTTGAATACCTCTCACTATATGTGTCAGCAAATGAAGTTTGATAAAAATATCTTGAAAAATTTCTTTGAAACTGAGCTTAACACAAAGTGTCACAGATTGACAGAAGGACAGATGACGGACATGACAAACACTATACATGTTACGTGTAATATACATTATTAACTTCTGCAAAAAATTCTCCATTTTAATCCAGAATTGTCTAAAAAGAATTTGATAAAACTTTCGGCACACTGATGACCTATCAGAAGGCCTGCTACATACATTGTAATTAGCAGTAACCCTCTTCTGGTTTCATTGGTGGTTTCATAAAGTTCTTGCTTTCTTTTGATTTCGGATATTTTCTTCTTTTTTCTTCCCTTGACTACTTTAAGTTTCTTTGGACTCAGTGATATATTAGATATAGCAAACACTGGAAAAAAAAACACTCTACATTGTATAATATTTAATGAGATTGTTCATTCTTTACAGTTTCTCGATTCAATTTTATTAATTTGTTTATATGTATTTTCTTCTAAGGATCTTTGAATTTGTAGTATCTTCTGTAAACAGCATGTGTGAGAGAGAGAGAGAGAGAGAGAGAGAGAGAGAGTCGTCAGAGAGAGAGAGAGAAGCTATATGGGGGAGAGAGAAAGATACTTAAAGCCATGACTTTGAAATTAATAATACTTTCTCAGCCTTTTAAAATCAACATAATTTATGATAAAACTCTGAATGTAAAATAAATTCATGTTTCTGACTTTTTGTTTACGTATTTTCTCTTGTTTGTTTTACCAGCTCTTTTGAGACAACCCAGTTTATGGTTCATTCGGAACTGCTTAAAATGGGATGTTGTGAATATTGCTCTTTATTTTGGATTTACGCCGTATTTTAACGAAACCGAAATTTCATGAGATAGAAGATACATCAATGTTTCATTCACATATCTTAAATGAAATACATACCTTACCACAGTTTCAGAGCACGTCTTTACTTTCAAAATAGCACGTGTTTAATGTCGGTCAACGTCACTTAAGCGCTTGCGGTTGTAAACAAAAAGCCTGGACACGGTAAGATAGACGGAGTTCTTGATCTCGCTATGTCATCCAGAGTATGGACAATACATAAAGCTTCATTTATGTAAAGAATCATTAGAAACAGAAACATTTATGTTTGCATAATTTTAATTATTTAATTAAAATTATTCGGAACTGCTTAAAGCACTGTACCATGTGCAAAAATGCCTTTTCTAAACATCAAATGAAAACAATTAACTTTCAAATACAGATGTCAAACAAGACCGAAAAATCATAGAACATTGATGTAGAAATATATTGATAATTAATAATTTGTCATTTAGAAACCCTCATAACACTTAGAGTAATCAAAACAATTTTTAAAAATTAGTGAGCTATAAAAATTAGTGATCTAAGGTCCTCATTATTAACTACTAGTATTTATGTTCTAAATTCACCATTTCAAACGAACATAAATTATTTATAAATAAAACTCAAAAAACACTTTATATAGAATGAACTCTACAACAGTAGATGTTTTTATAATTTGAAAAGATTAAAGGTCCTCATTAAGGACTATAATTGTACACAAGGGCGAAGAACATAACAATATATTGCATTCATGAGTCTCCGTACATTCTTACTGCAATTCGATACAAACAAACCGATTCCGAGGTGAATTTTTCTGATGAAAAATCAATTCAATGTCCTGCTACCCTCAATAATGACAGTGGTGCAAACAAAATGGAAACGTATGTCATGCGGTCAGATAATTATGAACGTGTATGAATGACCGTGCATTGCCCGATTGCGCGGATCATCTCAACCATAAAAGATATAAGGCTGCCCCAGCATAATGAAGATTGAACATGTAGAGGCCGTGTTTACGGATGATCAGGGTCAGCCACGGTCCGTTTATTTCGCTGGACAGACGGTAAACGGAGTACTGAAGTTCCGGGTGGCAGAGGAGTTTCCTGTTAACAGTAAGTATTAATTAATTTACAAATGATATTGATTGTTCAAGACTGAACTTTGTTTGACCCCAAATGTAAGCCTTCACCTCATTCAAGAATTCGACAGAACTAGAGCCCTCAAAGCGTTTTGGAAGATTTTGATAAGTTTATTTTATTGTAAATATCCTGAAATTAAGCCAACTTTTTGTTACTATGAAAGCCATTATTTGTAGGCGTTGTTCTGAAATGTAAGGGGAAATCCCACGTGAAATGGGAGAATGATGATGATAAAACTATCCACTATGACGAACTGTACATGGAGGAGAAAGTCTATCTTGTTGGATCTGGTACGTAAACATAACTTTCTCCCAGTGTCGGTTTGTGAACGACTGAAAAATAAAAATAACTACCTATCCTAACCCCAAATTAATATCCAAATTAGTAGGTGAGAGGGGATAGATGCTTCTTTCCCCAAACAGAATTTTAAATATTATTTTGAATATTATTTTATGCATGACCAAATTCTTGACTCGTTCGCTTGGCGCAATGGTTAGAGCGATTGCTCTAGAATCGCAGTTGTCTTGATCCTTACTGCGTGGTTCGAATCCCTCTGGATGCGAAGTTCTGTCTCGCAGTAGGTGCTGGCACGAAAAAGATCCCTCACTGCTCAATGGCCGTAAGTACCGATTATAGCACAAAATTTGCAGCTCTCCACCGTCAAGTGGTGGCGTTTCCATATGAAGGCAAAATTCTCGACCTGTTAACAACAAATAAACATCATTAATATACGCTTAAATAAAGCGGAGGTGGGCAGCCTTTCAATAAAAAGGTCTGTGTTTCGAAAAATGTAATGATGTCATTAGTCAGGTAGGAAATATCCGTAATATTTATTATTGAATTTCATAATTGCAGTATATTTCAAATCTGCTGTATATATACATATATATATTTTTTATCAAATTATCTCTTTTATCCAATCTTTTTATCCAATCTTAAAAATTGTAAGTGTATATCTGTCTGCGGAATCCTTGCTGAGTGGTCAATTTTCTTTAAAATTTATAGCGCGCCTCATGAGATATGCCTACGTGACAAGTCTGTGTGATTCACACACCAATAACTCACACAAAACTTAAAAACATTCCTTAATTGTCAATTTTAAGTATAATTTACAGTAAAAATAGAATGTTTAGATTCCCTTTCGGAATGAATTTTTCTCTTATTGTCTCCTTGCTTTCTTTTTCTTTGTCAGAAGACTCTAATGATTTTAAACAAGATCTTCACGTGGGTGAACACACACATAACTTTTCGTTCAAATTAAGAGAGGATTTACCCACATCCTTTGAATCCAAACATGCATACGTGCGTTATTTTGTCTGTGCCAAATTCAGTCGACCTGGCTGGAAGAAAGATTACGAGTTCCGGGAACCATTCACAGTGCTGACTATTATAGACCTAAACACTATACCGGAGGCCCAGGTGCAATTTTATACACCTCATTAAAAAGACTCAGTTTTCAAAAAATATTGATGAAATAAAGATTTTGATATGTGAGTTAGGGAAAAGTTGATAATAATATGCTTGTGCTTTTAAAAAAACAGTCCAGGTAAATTAACAGAAATTATGTTTAATATTGATTTTAACTATCATGATAAAATTTTAAAATTATTCACAAGGTAAGAAAAACAATCAGGTATCTATTATTTTCGTGGTTGATAGACACCCGTGCATTCTACCGATACTGACACTGTTGGTTGCTGCTGTTGTGCTGAAGGTCCTATCAGGTCAGAGTTCAAGGTCGACAGGGCTGGTTATGTCCCGGGGGAATATATTGGCATTAATGCTGAAATCGACAACAGAACCTCCAAGGTGATGAGCGAGTCAAGGGTGGAGCTATGGATGGTAAGGGATTAGGTCTGATGTACGGCTATAAATAAACGTTTAATATTGGCGAGTGCCTGGGCAGATTTCTTTTGATAATAGGATTGATGTAGAGATTGGCCGCCTATTGGTTATCACTGTGAATTCTTAACTATATAAACACTTATAACACTTATATAGTAAATAAATGATAGTAGATCTTGCCCAACTCCCTCGAAAGTACTTGTAACCCTTTATAGATTGGAGTCTTTTTGTAAAGAAATGCATAATGAATCTAAATGCAAAAGTAGAAGGATGTTCTGAGAGCAAAGCGAGATAACAGTAATAATATGGAAGCCCCTTTAGGACCTATCAAAATATTCGCTGAAATAATGCTGCTATGATGAATAGAAAAAAATTGTTAACAAAATTAATCCATTAAAACAATTTCTTTAAGAATTATGTTACATGAAATGAAATCTGTTTTTTTCAAATTCAACCATTAGGGCTCATAGTAAAATATTTAAGAATTCGATAAAAAAAATTGTAGAGTTGTTAAAACGAATTTAATTCGCTCTAATGAATTGAATAATTTGTTTCAACAATTAAGATATAAAGTTTACGGAAGCCCATTTAGGATCTATGAAGATTTTTTTTTTGATTTGATATAAAGAATTGTCGAATTTGTTATAACCGTTCACGAATGGTTAGTTTACTGTTTAAGGGTGTTGCAAACGACGGTAAGCTTTTTGAAAAAAAAAACTCTACTTTTAGGATATAGGTGTTACCCCAAAATTGGAATAAAAATCAAATAATTTTTCATACTCTAGAAACTAAAGCTGAAGGCAGGTTCAGATAGAAAAACGAAAAAAACCAAGATAGCTGAATTGAGACACGGATCGACAAACCCCGGGGGTCAGGATATTTGGAGTCGGGACAGGCTTCATATTCCACCCTGTCCTCCAACGCTGATGGAAGACTGCACAATTATTGATATTACGTACTACTTACATGTATGTTAAATTTTTACGCAAGTCTGTCTATATGCATTGTATTATAGGAATATTGCACAATAAGATTTTTTTAAATCAATATAAAATTTAAAGTTCATATACAGCACTCATATGAAGCCCTGTCAACCTTCTTGTCTTTGCACTTACTGTATTTATTGAGACCGTTGCTCTAGTTCATGATTACACTTGCTAAAACTATGACATTGCGTTTGTAGTTTGTAGGGGACATAGGTTTTCTTGGTGTGCTTCATGAGGTTCCTATTTTAATTGGAAGTGTCCCCCTAAGTAATGTCTACTCTATGCCAAACAATTGGGGGTTCATGCCACCCCCTTCTTTGACCCAACCCCCTACCATGTCAAATCCACCCTTGGTGGACCCGGCAGGTATTTCACTCTCCCCAATAACCACTCAGCCAGGACTCTTACCATCTGCTCGTGAGTATATATAGTATACATATGTAAGACTCCAAAGTGCGATGGTGACGCCAAAGTCCGATGGTCTCGCCAAACCCCGTTGGTCTGCACCAAATCCCGATGGCTCGCTGTCTTTACGGACGCCATTTAAAGTCCGATAGTCATGCCAAAGTCTGATGGCTCGTTTCCTATGAGACGCACTGCGCTAAAGTGCGATGGTCTGATACGCCAAAGTCCGATGGTGCGGAGGAACAATCAACGTTTATGACGTCACAATAGTCCGACGTCATGACGTTGTCCTGCATTCAATTAAGAAATAAGGTATCATTTTTTTAGTTTTATTGAGATGTAAAACGGGTTGGTCACGTGATCAAACCCCATAAAGCCCGAAGGACTTTATGGAAGATTTGATCATGTGCCAACCCGTTTTACATCTCAATAAAATTCAAAAAATGATACCTTATTACTTATATTTACATTTGTGACTTATTCATACTTTAAATTTGCCTGATTGTTACTTTTAACCACAGGCCTTTGGATCGCTTAAAAAAAATTGTGTGTGTAAAAAAAAATAAAGGTACTGAACTCTTACACTGGATACCTAATTTCGCTATTAAAATATTTTTTATTCGAATGCTCTAAAATTCTACTTTCTATTTAAATCTATTCATAGATAAACATTCTTCAATTCTACCAAAGCTCATTCCGAAATTCCATATATTTCTTGAGATATTCTGAAATCAATTTCAAAAATGACCTACTTTCTTTTACTCGACATTAGCTTGGGCCCCTGGCCATTCACATGTAAACAGACGATGTTTGAAGTGCGGCGAAGAGTTGCATAGTATTTGCAAAATCTTTCAACAATTTAAAGTTGATTTCTTACTCCAGATTGTAACGTTAAGTCCGTAATAATATTCCTTTCGCGAAAAATTAATTTGAAAACGTCTACATCAACAACTACCGCCATGTTGATTACGAATGTAAATGAAGCCATGGTAGAACGAATTTTTCCCGGAATGCATTATATACCTTTCGATTTTCAAAACAATTAGACCGCTAAAATGTTGTTTATGACTTAGTTACACCATATGTTCAAATTAAAGAAAAACCTTGTAAAGCTTGAATGCAAATGAGCAAATATTCATTGAGTTTAGAATAAATTCCGGGGAAAATTTGTCCCGTCGTTCCCGCTTTACAATTAGTGAAGGCCCAAGCTGATGTCGAGTAAAAAAATTATTGTCAATTTGGGAATTGATTTCAGAATATCTCGAGAAGTATAAGGAATTACGGAATGAACTTTGGTAGTAATGAAGATTGTTTATTTTTGAATAGATATGGATAGAAAGTAAAATTGTAAAGCATTTTATTTAAAAGAATTTTATTGGCTAAAGTAGGTACCCCATGAAAAGAGTTCCATACCTTTATTTTTTTTTTCAACACCTCAATTTTTTTTCTAAGCGATCTAAAGGCCTGTGCTTTTAACGTGAGAAATGCGTTATTTTTCAAACCCAACGGCATGTATGTAATCCACTAAACACGCGTTGACCCTTTATGACGTCACACACAGATTACGTCAAACGTTTATCCAAACGCACATCTATGACCTCTTGACCCCGTACCTGTATTTACACAGTTATAAAAACGCTTGCTGTCAGTAGTGTTATATAAAGGAAAACATTTGCAAATGTAAATATATTCCATTGAGTTAGTATTCGTCTCACATACAATTTTACTGATTTGTTTATTGTTTTCGCCCACTGGAGCTATTAAGGTTAGTCCCCGTACACCATTCGACTGATACGGGTTAGTCCTTGAACACTAATTGATGTGTTTCTTCGAACCATAGAGATTTTAGGGTTAGTCCTCGTACACTATTGGACTGATTTGGGTTAGTTAGGCTATAGTTGTTACACATTTTTCGACAGATAAGTGTTAGTATCACACCTATATCGAAAAGATGAGGGTTTGTCTTTGTATTTATGATATTTTGTATTTATCTAAAACAATCGGTCTTTGGCATGGAGCGGCATCGCAGTTTGGTATAGCGTGTCAAACCATCGGGGTTTGGCATAGACCACCGGACTTTGGAGTCCCATCGTACTTTGGAGTCCTACCATAAAAGAAATGTTAATATAGATAGAGAATTAAGAATTGGATAGCACAAAAACATTTTGAAAGATTTTAATAAGGTATGTTTCATCACCTCAGGAATGTTCGCTTGACATAAGCAATGTCTTTAACTATACGTTATTTTTCTAAATCTGCATGTTCTTGGTGAAACCAGTACATTGATATTAGCTCAAAAAAATAGTTGTTAAGTAATGTACATGTATTAATCACCTTGAAGAAGTAAAAGCTTTAACTGCATAAAAAATATCTCTTAAGTTGAAGAAGTTGTAGAACAGTCTTACTTACATTTTTGTCATCTTATTATTTTTTCAGCTCCACCCAGTTACCATGATAGCTTAGAATTTACAGGAACAATCGTAACAGAGAAAAATGAAGGCCAAAAGAAAGAGAAAGCTTTCAAACCAACTTATATTTATTACAATTTTGGCACAGGTCCTCTTACAATGTAAAATCACATATTATGCAAACAATTGTACATGTCTATAATATCTCATATAATGTTATGTCCATATTATATAAAGTTTTAAACCAACGTATATCGTTTACACTTGAATATAATGAAAGTGATGTTCAGAGTAAAATAAAATAAAGATAATTTTGATTCTTATCATGCATGGTTATGGAAAAATGTATTATTATAGATAATAAAATGCAAAAATAAAAACAACGTAGTGTTTATGACCGAGAGGGGGTTACTTAGTTACAAAACTAAAATAACACAGTCATGAGAATCTGTTATATTTTACTCTTAACTTCAGTTTCAAGACACTACTTACGAAGTATTCAGTACAAAATTAAAGTAAAACAATTTTGAAAAATATACGATGCACGGATGGTAAAGATACATGTACAGCAGTATATGTGGAGCTGCTACAATTCTATAAATAAATTAAGAGGGGTTTTCCTACATTGCCTCGTGGTTCTACCATTTTCTTTACATCGGCAAAGTACTGAAGATTTGAAGAAGAACCTTCAGTAGTACCGCACAATGATGAAAAAATGTGAAGATAAAAAAATCGACTTGAAGATAGGTAAAATTGTTTTGAACATATTTTATTGACAAACATGTCAAAGGAATTGGACACAAGTTCTTAAAATTTAGATAGTCCTCTCCCATACATAAAATATCAAAAGTAATACAATATTTACAATTTTACAATAATATACATGATCGTAGAAGAACAAAAATAATAGTTATTATTGCCTAAGATATCAATTAATATTCTGTTGATTATAATGACGACAATAACCATAATAACATAGTTTCGAAAGAGGTAGTAAATACAAATAATTGTTAGTTGAAACAACCAGAATCCTGAATAAATTTTTGAACAATACCAAATATTCTTTCATTTTCTTGCAAAGATAATAATTCATCTCCCCAAAGTAGTGTATGGACATTTAACATTTTTACATTTTTAACTACAAGTAAAGAATTCAACATTAAACTTCTAGCTTCTAGGTATTTTCTATACATAAAGAAAAAAATGATGACTATCCTCCTTATATCCACAAGAACAGCTTGGATTCGCTATAATGTTGCATCTATATACGTAATAGTTTAAAATACAATTCTGCCTTAAAATTAATTAAAGACGGCTAGGTTCAAATATTTAAATATATGTTAAGTTGGTGTCCAGATCACTCCATCGATCATAAAATTTACTTAAAATGAGACAACCGATATCCTTGTATCGCCAACTATATATATTTTTTTCGGTCTGTGTAACACTTAACCATTTAAATTTTAAAAATGATTTAGAGTTTTAGAATGTTAATATAATAGTCCAAATTTCTAAATTTCAAAAACTCAAACTGATTTCGTATATTGGAATTTAATATTTTAGTTCAAAAACCTAAATTTTCAAATTTCCAAACAGGTTTTAGAATTTTAGGTTTTTAGATTTTTACCTTAAACATTCAAAATTCAAATTTCCAAAAACAAATTTTGTATTTTAAACTTTTGAGTTTTTAACCTACCGTTTATTTAATACGTTTACGCGTAACAATCTTAAGTTCAGTACAGTTTGACGACTTTTGATATTTCCAAATTTACTTCAAACTTCTGAATTTCAACTTTCAAAATGTTTTAGATTTTTAGAAAGTTAGAACTTTGATTCAAACATTCAAATTTCAAATTACCAAAACACCCATTCATATATACGACATGATTTGCATACCTCAGTATATTTTACACATAAGTAAATTTACTCACATGTGCATTTTTTGCCGTGTGAACTGATTTACTCATATGCAAATTCTGCACAGTTTAGTAAATTTACACCTGGTCAGGACAAGGTGCAAATTAACTTTTGCATACACTTTGTAGCAAATTATTAGTTCATGTGTGTAAATTTTGTTGTATGAACACGCAGCAAATTTACTTATGTATGTATTTTGTTTTGTTTACTGCATGAATCTCCATTTAAAGTCTTGTTTCGGTTGTGTATGCATTGGCGTGTAAAATATCAGTCGGTAAACCTAGTGGCTATGAGGCAAAACTCTAAACAAGGAGCCATTATCTCCTCTGAGATAAATTTTCGAATTTGCATTACCGAGGACATCTTGCAGCCTTTCTGGCAAACCTATATGTATGTCTATATCTCTAAATATGAATAATCTATATAATTAATGCTCCATGCACTTCAATTTTATTTAGATAGTTCAATGGTTACGGTGTGGTGTTTAGTAAACATTGGTGTTGCCCACATTGACCTGTTGACTGGCCTGAGGAGTAATACAGGGATATCGCCTACCTAGAACTTGTATCTGTTGTATTAAGGATTATGATCTGAGCTGAAATTTTAATTTAAATTAAAAAAAAAAAAAAAAAAACCTTTATATATTGACAATTTTTTCTTTGGTTTACAGCAATTTAATCACAAATCATCTAAAAACAAAAGAATTATGGCATTAGTCGGGATGTTAGTTATGCAGACTTTTTAAGTTTAATGTACATTTAAAAGCTCAACATATACAAGGTATATTATAAAAATAATAATAATAAATAAATTCCAGATGCAATTTCTCGGTTTCGGTGGACCAGGTTTCATTACAGAACCTTTTCCCTCCATGTACATGTACCTATTCAGTTTTGCAGAGCTATTCAGGAGCTAGCTATAGCCAGTCTCCTTCAAACCGGTGTATCTCAAAATACAGAAAGCAAAAGTCTTTTTTTTCAATTTCAGGCAACAGGTATCATTTCAGCAGATCTGGTCCCCTCTTTTTGATCATATGATTAATTTTATAGCATATATGTCAGAGAGTATTATGGCTTTTTCTACAGTCAAATGTTATTTATCAGGAATCAGTTTTGTCATCAACTTACATGGTTGGCAGAATCCAATCGATTCATTTATTATAAAGAAGTTATGGGCTGGTTTCAAGAGATGTATTATTGTAACTAATGCGTCTCAGGATAAAAAAACCCCATTATATTACCTATGTTGGATAACACTGTCAGTGCTTTGCCATATTTGTGTTCTGATTTTGAAGCGGCTTTATCTAAGTCTGCTTTTACATGATTTTGAAGTGGCTTTATTTAAGTTTACTTTTACATGATTTTGAAGCGGCTTTATTTAAGCCTGCTTTTACATGAGCTTTCTTTGCATTACTATTAAAGAGTGAGTAAAATAGTGGCTTTGGGTATCAAGCATATAAATGTCTCTTGTTGTTTTTGTTACAACATTTTAGACTGGCCAAACTGATTTGGGGACATGTTTGCATGTTGAAAAATATTACAATGTGATTGTTTCAATCTTTGCAGATTTTTGCTGTATTATGTACAAATATTAAAAGGGCGTCTCAGTTTTCACATTTAAACTCAAAACTCTTATCCCAATATCAGTCTCCGTCCATCTTAAGGTATTCAATGTATAATGAAGGAATTTTCGACGATTTTAGATAAAGATAAAAGTGAAATGAACCAAAATTCGCAAGACTAATAACATGTACAGAGACGGTCATTTTGCACATTGAAAGTTCCTAAGAGTTATCTGACCTTGATTGAAGAAAAAAAAAAATTAATTTATCTAAATTTCTTCGGTATAAAGTTCATTTTATATCATATTTTAATAAACAAACAAACGCATATTTTCACCAAGAGATAATACTTGGATTAGTTTGAAATTCAGACTACTTCTTAAAATATCTTACAAAAACATATGCGCTGTCCATAGACTTGAATATTAAAATCAAGGTGCAATTAATTGGTTAGTAATCAACATGTAAATTCCTTGTTGGAACATTTTTGTTTTACAACATCTTCAAATTATGACTAAAATATTGCCGACTTGGCGTAGAACAATAATAATTAATTAATCAAAATATTTTGCTACCATGATTTAAAATATCGGACTATTCATTTCTTAGGTACAAAATATGGTCGTTATACATAGAATAAACTTTAAACAAAGCTTTGCAGTTTTTAAATATTCAGTCAACTGAAGTTAAGACGCACTGATTTTTCACATTGGGGTTGCAATCCACTTGTATACAAAAGTGTTTTCAGAGGAAAATATTACGCAGATGGGAAGGTGGCAGTCGGGCGCCAGGGCTGTGTATTGAGCAAAAAATTTAGATACGATACGCTACAATAATTTTTTATTTCTTAAGATATATGCGATATATTGGATTCTATAACAAGTCAATCATAAAAGGCTTATAAATTATTTAACGTATGAATTTAAAAAAAAAAAAAAAAAAAAAAAAAAAAAAAAATGAAGTGTTTCATTGTCATTACAACTTACACCTCAAATTAAAACTTTTAATGACTATCAAATCAAGACATTTAATGACTGTAAAATCAACATTTTAAATTAAAATTGTCTAAGCTTTAGTAATAATTCTAAAAACTGTGTTATTGCCTTAAAAATTGAATGATTATTGAACAGATTTAATTCATAAAAGTGAAATATGATCTTTGGTGATTGAAGTTCCCATCTTTTTAACAGAATTTAAAAAAAAAAAAAAAAAAAAAAAAAATGCCTGTCCGATACGTATTGGAAGTTAATTTTCGATACGATATGTTTCTTGTATATTGATACGTATCGATAAATTGATAAAACCCTACAGTCAGCAGCCTACAAATCTTACATAAGACCATTGTCGTAGATTAACCTTCTGTTTATATACATTGTATTGTTTGATATTATGACACAACGCTGCAATTCAAATATTGCTTTGACATTTACTGAGTATTCCCACAATCTTTTATTACATATATGGTCACATATTTTGCCTCAAAATAATTGATAAATTGCCTTGCAAATGCAGAATGACAGAAGTGTAGACATAGGATTAATAGTGCATGTGCTACATTTGTGGTAAGTAAGTTTAAGGGTCGTGGTGCATCAATCAGTTATCCACATATTAGGACGCATTGCAAGGGAGATAATGGAGTTCAATTTTCAGATTTGGGAAACAGAATTTTTATTTGTACTTTGAGAAATTATATCAATTGTGTAATTTTGTTTTGTGAACATTTCTGCGATGCTTGTCATGAGCCCCATTGTGTGCGAGTTGCACATTTATCATTTTCAATGCAATTTGCATCCATTTTAAAATTTCAATCTTAAGGCGCAATTTGTGCCTTTCACTTACCAATTTGGTTATTTGGTGCAATTTGT